TTTGATAAAATTACGGTGTTAAATAATTTGCAATTTTTCTCGAAACTAAAAAAAATATTAAAAATCAAGAAATTAATGAAAATAAAATTTTGAAACGTCAATATTTTCAGAAAAATGGCCATCTTTAATTTTTTTTGAAATAATTAAATAAAAAACTATATTTTTGAACTTTTTTACCAAAACATTAAAATATGAACTAATTGTAGTTCTTATCCCTGTGAGTCTTATTACAAAACTAGAATTTCGATATCACCATTATTTCGGGAGATATCGCAATGGGTAAATCCTCATGGGACACCCTGTATAAACAAGTTGAATACATATGTGAATAGTTACTTATATATTCATTCACTATGATGTGTGTTTTTTCTATATTTATTCACACTATCAAAATAGTAGATAATACATCAATGCATGGGAAATTCATTACCTAACCATCATTATTATTGTTAAAACTGAACAACTTTATATTTGTTTATTATTTTCTATCTTAAACATATAAAAACAAAAAGTAAATTTATGTACCAATTTTATGTTAAGTTTTTAAAAAAATTATATTTTAGCTATTTTAGTAACACCTAGTACCTAGAAAGTATTTATGTTTGATTTTATAATCACATATGTTTTAGCATCATTTTTGGTTTGAAATTATCACCATGTCGAGTTATAATGATTATCAACATTGGCCTCAAGAATCTACATCAAATTCAGATGAAGATGAATTGTCATCTCCTGAAATTGAACAAGATGATAGTGATGATGATACTGAGTCATCTACATCTAGTACAAGTACTTCAGCTACAAGTAGTAGTGGTAGCAGTCAGTCAGGTTCAGATTCTGAGAGTACTAGCACTGCTGATGAAGATGAAATTATATCGTTGAAAACAGAAACAGTGATTGCCAATAAAACTGAGCTTAGCTTACCAGCTGGAATGTGCGAAGATGAAGAAGTTTTCAAACAATTGTTTTCTGTTAACTCTTGGGTATGCCTTAGTGATCAACAAAAGCAACATTTAAAGGTAAATGGTATTCACAAGCTGTTTTTTTATTTTTCATCAAATGTAAAATCTTCACACTTAACTTAACCTTCACTAACCTAACTTAGGTACATAATAATTTATAAAAAAATTAATTAATACAATTTGATTCTATAGAATTTTTTACCTACATTTTCTGAAAATGATTTAATGGAAAAAGAAATTACTTTAAGAATGCTTTTTGGTGGACAGAGTTTTCGGTTTGGTGTTAATCCAATTGATGATTTTCATGATAAATTAAAAAATGGACATTTTAGACCTGATATTGTCAAAATGAAATCACTTTTACGACGATCACTCAAAAGAGAGTATAGGTAAGAATTATTATAAATTTTTTTACTTATGTTTTAATTATGATAATAGTTTTGTATTAATATTTCAGAAAAAATCAACGGATATACAACTTCAATATGTTAAAAAAATTAATTTCTGGGCGTAAAAAAGTTATTGATGTTTTAAATGGTTCTACTACATCTATGAYAAATAATGGAGGTAGTAATACTATGCATCAACAAGTTAAAAGGAGATATTTCCGAGAGCTTTCTGATATTAAAAATTTAGTGGGGGATGTCTCCGAAGAAAGTTCAGATAGCAACTATCAAGGTTAAACATTTTATAATTTTTGATTAAAAGTTTTTATTATTTTAAATTTTTTTAAATATTTAGAAGGACCACCTACTCGTTTGGGTAAAAAACAACGACGTAATTTAAGTATTATACAAAGTTCTCTTTCACCTGAACTTGAAACTATTACTTCTACCTTAGCTACTTTTCCTGATAAAATAGATTTGTCTAAAGTAGCTTTGCCTACAAGTAATCCATTTGAGCCTTCTGATGATATGTATAAAGAAATGTTGATATCTCATAAGAGAAAAAAAAAGAAAATGGAAGAGGTGTGTTATTCTAGTTTAATGTATGTAGTAACAAAAATAATAATATATGTATTTATTTAAGGAACACAAACGAATGCGATTTGACCATATAAAAGAACAAATTCATCCAGTAGTATCATCAGGCACTGAGAAAAAGAGATCAGCAAATAGTGACCGGCCTCGTTTGAAACGTACAAAACCTGTTAAACAACAAACTCAGTCAATCCAACCATCTCATCAGTCAGACGCACAATCTCCTGTTCAACTTGATGTAAAACTTCCTGTCGCCCAGTTAGATGTAAAAACTCCCGTACAGATAAGTGTACAACCTCAAGTGCAGTTAGATATACAGCCTCAAGTGCAGTTGGATGTACAGCCTCATGACCATTTAGATGTACAATCTCAAGTGCATTTAGATATACAACCTCATGTGCAATTAGATATACAACCTACTATGGAGCTAGATGAATTACATAAAATGTCATCGAAGCAAGAAGATAGGGCTCTATCAGAACCATGTAGTATTTCATACGCCAAAGAAGAGATACTACATAATGTAGTTTCACCTCCACTCCTTTCACCATCGCTACATTCACCATCATCACTGTCAATTTCTTTATCAAATATGGCTGAAGAAGAATCAATTAAGACTAATTTGAATGCAATCAAATTAGATCCTTGTACTCCTATTCTAACAGACTTTTTAAAAATCGAAGAAGAATTAACATTAAATGATCCTATTAAATTGGAACCTATCAGCTTAACAGCTGATGAAATACGTAAAGCAGAAGAAGGTCAAGCTGCTGCAGCAATGTTATTAGAACAAATGAGTGATGTTGAAGAAAAGTATAATCCTCCATTAATACCTTCACCACCACTTCCATCACCACCACCATCACCACCTCAATCACCACCACTCTCACCATCTCAATCACCAAGACACTCTCCACAACAACTGTCTGATTCTAAATTCAGTCCACCCACCTATATTCAGAGAGAATATCATCCAGAAGACATGTTAACTAGTACAGTGCAAAACATAAATACGGAGTAATTATTATTTATAATTAGTAATTCTTGACATTTTCTCATGAGTTAACATTATGGTACATTTTATGAATTATTTAGATCTCCATCTAGGACAGTACATTCTTGTTTACACCCTCTAAGTGCAAGTGACTATGGTTCTAAACAGCTATCATTATCACCAGTATCTACTCCTAGTAAAGCCATAACAGATTCTAATTATGTTGGATCTTTATCAGAGTTAGAGGGTTTTCATGTTTTAGATATTAAAAATATGTGTAATGAGGATTTAGATCTGAAAACGTATGTTAAAATTATTTATTTAATTATTTACTGTGTATTATATTTAAATGGTGTTGACAATATTTTACTTATTTCAATTATACATTTTTAGACCTCAAATGAATAAAATAGTTTCTAGTTTCTTTGCTCTTATAAGAGATATAATCTGTGCTACCTGGGATTACCGTATGGATATGACTGCGCTAAATGAACGTGTTCTTGATTGGGTGAATTCTACATTTAACAACAGAAAAAATCCAGATTGGTACCACAGTTTAACTTTAAAGACTTGGCCTAAATCACTACAATCAGCTATAGGTTTCTTAGCAGGACATTTCCCTGGTAATTTTTTTTTTATTTCCTTAAAAAAATTCCATTATTAATTATTTAATATACCGTTTTCTTTAGAGTGGCAACCCGAAGATTTTGTTCCTTATATTGAATATAAGCCTAGCTTGGATATTTATCAATGGATTGGTGCTGGTAGAGATTCAGATACTCGACTTGGAGATTTATGCAATTGTTGGCTACATAATTTGAATAACATTAGCTCAAAATTGAAGAGTATCAAAGATGATGTAATTGGTATTAATAATTCACCTATACCATCTACCACAGATATTATTTCAACGATTGAGAGGTCTGAAACTGATACAACAATTCCTTTAACGTTACCATTATTAGACACATGGATAGTGACTCCTTCTAGTGTTGAAGAACGTGCAATTTTCCAGGCTCAAGTAAACTAAAATAAATAATTATTATGAAATAAAAATTGTTTGATTGCAATTACATTTTTATTACAATTTAGGAAAAGCAACGATTTTTAAAACCACATCGTTCTTTTGTTTACCAAATGCATGGTTATGAGTCGGTTGTTGGTCCTGTTCGCGGAATTTATAATTCATCTAATATTCACAAAGCAGCTCGTGGTCATTCCTTATTGATTGAAAATAGACCTCATTTCATATCAATATTGGTATTAGGTAAACTATTATTATTATTATTTATGCTTTTGAAGAAAAAAAATACATAAATATCAATATATAATATTATGCAATTTCAGTTCGTGACGCTACAGCTAGATTACCGAATGGAATGGGAACTCGAAGTGATATTTGTACCTTACTTAGAGATTCACAATACTTGATGGAAGCAAATCTTACTGAATTGCATAATGCTGTTAGTGGGGCTTTGGATAGATTGCATTATGAACATGATCCATGTGTTAAATATGATCCAAAACGCAAAATATGGATTTACTTACATAGAGGGCGAAAATTAGAAGAATTTGGTATGTATGCAATATACCATAACTCTATATTTGATTACCAAAAGATGGTTACAAAATTAACATTTTTTTCATCATGTTTAATTTTTTTTTTTATTAGAAATATCCATTATGTTTCAGAACGTTTGCATTTAGAACAACAAGGTGCAGTGAAGATGAAATGCTGGCGAAGAAATAAAACACAAAAAAAGACTCTAGAACCTAAACGTACTCCAAATAGAAAATCAACRTCCAACGTTCTTTTAGAATCCTTATCAATGTTAGATTTACCTACAAGTTCGACTTCAGATTCTATGCCAAGTTCAAGCACATCACCAGTGTTGTCTGATATGCGCAACACTCAAGATATGACTAGCATAGACCATTCAAAACAATCAATTAAAGCACCCCGGGTTACCAAAAATCGAAAAGCGCCTACACAGACCATGCAAATGACTGATAATGCAGTTGAGCTAAACATAGAATGCCCAACACTAATTGATCAAAATAATACTGGCTCTTCCCAAGTATTTTCCATGCCTGTTTCAAACCATATTTCAACAGTTACAACTAGTAATAACTCAATCATAACTTCTAGCAATATTCCTAATCAAACATTTTCTAGCAACATTAGTAGTAGTCAATCAATAATTACTAGTAATAGTCAGCCAATTGCTAATAGTTTCACCTGCCAACCAATTGCCAGTAATATAAATAGTCAATCAGTTGGTACTAATATTTTAAGTCAGTCAAAAGTTGGAAATAGTCTAAAAGTAATTAGTAGTCAAACTGTATCCAATAGTGGACAGATGATAAACATTTCCCAAACTATGAACAGCAACAATCAAGCATTTATCAATAACACTACAATGGTTGTAAACAATATTTCCTCAAATGTATGCAACTTTTATTTTTATTTATTATTATTTTTAATTTGAATGTATTTTTAGAAACAATTAATATCATCTGGAGATCTGATAACAATTGGCTCTAGGAACAAAACAAAACATGTTCAAATTACTCAACCAGTTCCTATTGGACAATCTTCTGGTATATTATATTATATTTGTAATTTGTCATTCAAATGTATGCAATGTATTCAATATAATAAATTTTTTTATTTTAGGGCTTACAAATTATCAGCATGAACATCAACTCAATATTGCCAAACCACCTCAAATCAAAGAACACCAACGCCAGATATTAGTTTTAAAACAAAAGCGATCAGATCAATCAATATCTAGTTATGAACAAAATACAACTGTTGTTAACCAAACTGATACTGGAAAACSACAAACTGTTCAACATTTTATTCAACTACAGCACCAACAAAAGTTGCAGAAACAACAACAAATACAACTGAAACTTTTGCAGCATAAACAAATCCAGCAGCAATCTTTGCAACAAAACAAACAGCAAGTCATTATCAGAAAGACTGATGTGGATGATAAGACAGAAGCAGGAGACTCTGAACAGCCCCAAGTTATATTCTTAAAACAGGGTCTAAGAAATGTCCAACAACAAGAAACACAACAGATAACACAGCAACAATTACAACAATTATTGATGTTAAGGCCACAACAACAAGCAGGGCAACAGRCTCAGGTTGTCATGGTTAAACAACAAGGAAATGATCAGAAATCTATTGAACTTAAGGTTTGTTGTATTTTATCTTCGTCTTTTTATTTTAAATTTATATCTTAGAAAACATGTAACATATTCTTTGACAGAATTATCATTTAGTTTTTGTTCCTGTAATGAAAAGGTTTTTTTTTTAGTAAGCTCTGTCAATGGGTATAAAACATACATATTATTTCTTAGAGGTCTTATCATGATTTCCTTAATAGTAATAAATAAAAACATAGTAAAAATACTAAGCAAGCTCATTAGTTTTGTTACCAAAAAATCTTGACTTTTCCCAGCATAATATATTTTTGTATTTAGTAATTTATTAATGTTTTAAAATTATTATTTCAATACAATACATGTGAATGTGATGAAACATAAATCATCACTGGAAGACTCAGTTTTACTCTTTTTTTTTTCTTTCTTTAAGTATAGTTTTAAATTTTCTCTGAATAATGTAGAGTATTTGGTTAAAATCAATTAACTAGAATAAATCTAAATTTATTGTGAAAATTGATTTTATAAAATTATGAATAAAATTGATATGTCATTTTGAGTTTTTCATCAGAGAACTCAACCAAGTATCTAAGATATATTTTTAAATGTGTGATATCTATTAAAATGTTAATAATTAATTATTTTAATTTTAATCTAGCCAATATTAACATCACTCCGTGGTACAAAAATTCAACAAAATCCAGCAAACACTGCTAATTTATTGGTACAAGCAAAACCAGCTGCTCAGAATGTTCAACAAAAAATTACTAATCCYCTTGTTGGCAAGTTTATGTCTAATCAAAGAGCACAATTACCTGTTGACTCAGTTCTTGCAAATAGAAAATTATCTGGTGTTCCTGGTTAGATAATAAAAAATTTATATTAATTTATCTTCGTAAATGTATTCTATTTATTATTTAGGTACTCCATTGCGAATTTCTGGAGTGCAGACTTCTAAGAGTGGTCAGCCGCACTATACAGTGGTAACTGTTGCTCAACCTAAACTTATGACATCCAATCAAGCAAATATTGGACAAGTAATCAATCTTTTTTCTATGAGATTTTAACATAAAATTATAATAGTATAATTAATTAGAAATTACTTTAAACTGTATTACTTTTATACTTAAATGTATATATGTTTATATAATATATAGAAAACACCTACTCGAATATCAACTATAAATGATCGTTTAAAATCTGGTGAAACCAATCAACCACAAACTGTACGTGTGGTTCAGTCGCAAATTAGTGGAAAACCTTTATTAGTTACTAATAAAGTAAGTATATTTTTTGAAAAGTAATTAGTTTTGTGATGAAAAATATTTTTAGTGAAGTTTTTAATGGTAAACATGTTTTTCTTCAAAAATTCAAGTTAGATAAGTATTAGGTGAATTTTTTAGTTTTTCTTTCACAAGGTTGTTAAGAGGACGTTACACCCGCATGTGTTGTCTCCGTCTTACAAGTGCGTAACATTGTAAAGAACCGAGAAAGCTACAGTTAAACTAATAAACGAAATTATCACCACATAAGAAGTAGAATTTTGTATGTGCAATATCGTTTTTATTTTTTCGATATCAGAACTACAAAAAAAGTAATTTATGGTTAAAAAACACAAAATTAATGTATTATGAAACAATAAGAATTTTTTTTGTAAAAGTGATATCGAAAAATAAAAACAATATTGCACAAACAAAATTCTACTTTTTATGTAGTGAAAATTTTGTTTCTTAGTTATAACTGTAGCTTTCTCGGTTCTTTACCKCGCGAAACAGTTTTTGCAATGTTACGCACTTATAAGACGGAGACAACACAATATGCAGGTGTAACATCCTCTTAAATTGATTATGTCTTGTGATCATTATTACGTCAAATAAAATATTATGATTGGAGTTATAATAGAAAACATTGAAACCTTAAATTCATATAAATATTTGTTAAATTAAATTAATTTTCATAGGCACAAATTTCATCGGCTCTTTCTGGTATATCAACATCATCAACAGTAGTTAGTTCTACTGCTAACACTTACACTGTAGTACAGCAAGGTTCTCAACAAATACTTGTGCCTGCAAGTTCTTTGAAATCTTTTCAAGGGCTAAAGGTTATACCAATATCACAGCATAATCTTAAAGGTTTATATTTTTACGTCATGCCTGTTTCACATGAATACATATCGTATRCGTTCATGTGAAACAGATCTTAGTTTCCTATCTCTGTACAAATTTTACTTCAATAAAAAATATGTTACAGGGCGATCACAAATGTTTGCTCGGATATTAAATTCTGACAGTGTGAGACCTGTGTTTATTCATCAACAGTCTAATCAAGACTCTAGCAGTCAAGGACCAACTGAATCAAATACTTAACCTTTGTGGATAACAGTTCCTTATTAATTATTTTTTTATTTATATACATTTGTTATACAATATATTATAATGACCTGATTTATTATGAACCATAATAATGTTTAAATATGACTTAATGTTTACTTTGTGTATGTAGTCTGATTGTTACCTACTTTTTTGTTTTATATTTGTATGCTTCAATAAACTTTATTATAATGATATGTTGTCAAATAACATAAATATGGTTTTTAAATTAATTTTTTTCTCTTAAAAATCAGTATCTAGTGTAACTATTGAACTTTTATTGATTGCATATTTCTGAAATTGATTTCTTCCATTTAAAATTAAAACAAACAGGTAAGATGCCTCATGGCATGTCATCAAAGTATAGTCAAACATCACTATCAGTCTAACCTAGGTCAAACTAATTTTTTTTCCGCACGGCTCAWYTGGGTTCAAAACTAAGGACGGAAAGAAAAATATTTAACTTACCAAAATTTAAATCATAACTTCATTGTTTGTTTTTACACACGTCTTAAAACTTATTTTATGGTTTAATTGAGTTGGATTTAGACATTTGTAGGCTTGGGGAAATCAATTTTTAATCGCCTAGCAATAAAAAATTAAAAATACAAAAAATTTTGCAAACTTGTATGTTGAAACTATACCTAAAACATGTTTATTTCAAGTTTGAAATACCACTGTTTATGTATCACATATATCAAAATTTATTTAAAGATAGCAATTATATTAAGCATAGATAAGTAGGAATATTAATCTAATTTTATTTTCTATGTAACATTTTTTAGACAAATACATTTTTATTATTTCGTACTTTTCTTGATATTTTCCATACAAAGTTGTCTATAATTTCATTAAATGATGAAAATCAAGTATTTTACTTTTAATGCTCATAATGGATAAAAAATTTAATTTATCATTGTGCATTGAAGTCGTCAATCTATTTTTGATAATTTTTAATCATGGAATTGTGCGTTTGTCACTAAAATTGGTTACCATTATAACAAGAAAAATGCATGCTACTGAAACATTTGGAAAAGCTGTTCATAAAATKCTCATTACCTACTAATTTGTGTTGGTTCAGAATTAGAATAAAGTTTCATAAATTCAAGAAAATTAACAATTTCACATAACACATAATAACTTATCTAAATCATTTTTGTAAACTGTTACAAGTTATTTAGGTGATTCTTGCAGTTTTTCATTACTAAGTTTATATAAACATCGAAAACAACTAAAATGATCACATATAACTTTATATTATGCTTTCTGTCTCTGATTGATTGAAATTTACAGTTGCTCAATTAGCTCAATTTGCTCAATTAACAGGTAGAAACAATATATTTAAAAAAGTCTAAAGGATTAAGTTAGACACCTGATGAGCTCTTGTAGCCCATAGGATCTAGTTGAATATTGTGCTAAAAGTTTCGTTTTCGAATTATTAAGGTCTAATGTAGGAGCTTGAAGGATTTTATTAGTATTTAATAGCATTAATCCTATCCAGAATATCGTGCAAAAATGTATAATATTTTATTGTTTCAGGTTTACACATCTTTTAATATGATCAAATAAGTATAAGTACTTAATGACAATTAGTAGCAATAATCAATAGCATTACTATTATTAGTTCTAGCATTTGATCGGAAACCAGTCACAACGAACACAACATGGGTAATTAACATTTAACATTATAACAAATCATTCTTTTTCATCAGTGCAGTGTAAATAWAAATACATTATTGTAACAACTTTTGCAATATATTTATTAGAATAAATTTTAGTCATATAGAGCAAATTAGACAAGTTCAAATTCGTATTCTACAAATTAATATGAATGTGCCGTACATTCAAATATTTAATACTTCAGTAAACGTCATCTGTTTCTCGTTTTTGAAGTTCTCAATATATATATAATATGAAAACATACAATAAATAAAACAAAAATAAAATATTAAAAACGATAAAAAATTAATAATAAAATTCAAAAACAATTTAATATCATATTTTTCTAAGCATAAAGTAACAGATTTGTAAAATAACAATGGTTGTTTATTACAATAAAAACAATACGATGAAGTGCATGCCAACTATTATACTCTAAATAATTATAATATTTAGACTTTACTGCATCAAAATATAAGACATTAAAATTAATACACTGTAACATAATACTTTAATATTACACATAGATATCTATTTCACCAAGGTACAAAAAAAAAAAAAAACAAAACAAAAACTGATTAGGTCTTTAAGGTAACAATAGAATAGGTATTGAATATTAAATTATTTTGGTCCCACTAAAGTATCATAATAACAAATAATAATAATAATAATAATAATAATAATAATAATAATAATAAATAAAATAGACATATTCATTAACTAGGTTCATTTATGTGCTATAATATGGTCTTATATTATGCAGGTATCTGTATAGGTAAGAAAAAATAATGGTTAATTGTAGACATTCTATTTAATATAATAAATAAAAATTTAATATARATACAATAACAATAGTTAATAATATCATTAAACAGCTGTGCGGATTGAAAAAATGGGAAGTAAAAACTAAAGAAAAACACGTTATGATGTATCTAATGTGTATTTTGATACGTCTAAGTTTAAAAGTTCGAGATATGGCATAAATTATTAAATCATATAAATAATAATAATGATTTATTTTGCAACTATGTGGCTGAAATTGTCCATGCACGAAAACAACTTGAAATTCAAAACAGTCACAGAGTTTATATACGTACCAAATTATTTTAATACGTTTTTGTGATATTATTGCTTAATCACTATTCAGTTTTCAAATTTGACTTTTAGGTTTTAAATTTTATAAATCATGAAAAAACAAATAAGCTTTCAAGATAATAATATATATTGTTGTTATAAACGATTCGTATAAGGTACATTCTATATTATGTTATTACAATATTTGTATGTACACGAAAATGAACTAAGTCTAATATTTTATCAACGTTAAAATAATATCTAAATTCGAATTCATCTAAAATTAAATTCCGATTATTGAGCATTAGGTATATACGGTATAGACAGTAAATGTCTGTATAGCTATATTTCAAATAACAATATATGTTCAAATAAATGTATTACCAATTTCTAAATTAAACTATTATATTATTATTATGTAAGATAAGATTATCCTACTTAACTAAATAAATATGTTTTATAATATATATAATATATAATAATCTGTAATCGATATACAATCAACATATAATTTGTATAAAAAAACAAGATAAAATCTATATTTAGAATATGTATCATTAATTAATAATTAATATTATTGCTAGAAAAACAATTGAGCAACGGTGGACAGCTACAGATAGATGGGATGTTTGTACAAATTAAATAAGGATCTTGTTGTAAGCACTATAAAGTTTTGAATTGTGTGCCTCATACTATCCTTCCCCTGTGAACCCAATATTTTCGAAATTAAAGAATATGGTGAAATGATTTTTCAACATTTGTGTGTATAATTCTTTTTTTTCAGTTTTCTATTAAGYCCATCGTTGCGATTGTTATAAAATATAGATATTTTTTAACTTACATAAATACCTGTATAATAATATATATGAACAATAATAATAATAATAATAATTTTAAAACGTATTGCTTCATATGCATAAGATATAAGTATATAAAAGTTGTTTAAAATAAGATAAATTAAAAAATATATGCACAATGTATTATAATATTAAGAAAATGCATGAATATGTTCGAAGTTTTAAAAGTGGATTGTCAGACACAAATATATAATTTACTTTCCTATGAAACTAATTAATTTCCGTGTAAATAATAATTATATACACACGGTCGATATAAAAGCACCTAGTAATACGTCCTATTAATTCGATTGTCAAAAACAAATAAAAATGTTATAATTAAATCTAGAAATGTTAAGTTCATAACAGTTATTACCTAAGAAGTAATTGGCAACATTTATCTTAATCTTAATTTAGAATACTAATCGAATGTAATGAATTAATAAAAATTAACAATATACATTTTAAATATAATACCTACATACAATGTGGTTAACTAAACACGCTCACTATAATAATATAGTATAATATATAATAATAGTGATGGAGTAATAGAAATGCCATTATCTAATCACAAATGTATTGAGCATGTTTAGTGAATCACTCGCTGTATACACGGGTATAATTATATTTACAGTTTCATTTGAAGCAATATATTAAGGCACTGAATATTATTTAAAAAATGTAAAATGTTAGAATATCAGGGTATGGGTAGATATACACAATAGAATTGTGATCATGATTGTCAAGTAGATTTTAAATTGTTCACAAGTGTATTATAAAATATAGTTATGAATTATACATGATCTATGTTACACTACCGTATCAATAATATTATAGTATGCACCATGCAAGAATATTTTCTTCCATACATAAAATATGTGTTGGTATGATAGCAAAAATAACAAGAAGGGAAATTATATAAGTCACCTACCTATAACATTGTTATTGTATAAAGATGTATCATAAGTCAGGACCCTGTACAACAATAAAAACTAAAGAGAAAAATATTTGTGACATAGAAGTGTCCACATGTAAAGAATATTTAAGCATGAAGAGCAACAGTTTCAAATATAATTATTTATATAAACAGACTGTAACAGGAAGGCCTGACAAATGAAATAATTTTTGTTTTAATCAATATTTATTAACTTTTTTTTATACATTATTTATTGACATTTGCATTGCATGTGTAATGTAACATTTTTCATTTTTTTAATACTAAAAATAAAAAATTCAAAGGCAGCCAATTAGTAAATCTAGGTTTAAGAAAAATGTTGACTGTAAAAACATTTATTTGAGACATGTAGTTTATTTTTAAATTTTTTTAACAAAGTTAATCAAACTGTAAAAATCATTTTAAATTCAAAAAGTTTAAATTTGAAAATTAATGGAGCTTACTTCAAAAAATATTGGCATTTTAAGAAATCACAAAATCTACTTGACATAGGTATTTTTTTTACAGCCAAGAGTTTTC